CATGTACAGTATAGAGGGATATGGGTTTTTCTGTGATGTTGGTTGTTGGTGTTTTAATTTATCAATAATCCTCAGATGGTCGTTGGTTTCATCCCTTCAGATAAATATAAAAGAAATATTTGATGTTTGCCTTTGGAAATCCATGTGTGTTGATTTTGCCTGTTTTAGTCTGAACCCACATCGGACGCTATCCGGTCTTAAACCTAGTTGATCCTGAAGTAAAGCAGTGCTGACTGTGGCACACCGTCTTTCTGTTTATCTCAGCAAGAGCTAGAAAAAGATATATACTGAAAACGAGTGTGATATAGAATTAACTGTTTAGTGTCTGTAGGGTGAGGATTTATGTTTTATATGATATGTGCTGTGTGTGAGGGAGCTTCTGCAACTTCATGTTGTCAGAATAAGTTCGACTGAACAATATCACTCGTACGTTTTCAGTCATTTGTTTATTCGTCCGCAGGATTATTTAAAAAACTACTCAAAGGATTTCCAGGAAACTTGGTGGAAGGATGTGACAGGGGTCAAGAAAGAACCAATTACATTTCAGGGTGAACCTGAACAAAGGGGCAGATCCAGAATTTAGTTTTTATAACATTGTGGAATAATTTCAACAATCTTCCAGAGAAGAATTCATAAATACAAACAAATTGAAAAGCAGGCATACTACATGTAGGGAACTGATGCAATTTGTTGCAGCCTGATTGAATTTAAGGTGACTGCCGGGCCTTGGCGGAGGTATATACTGTGCTGAGTGGCATTACAGTTCACTAAGTGAATGGGGGATTTACATACTGATCTAATGTTCACTCGTAGGATGCACGTTGATGTCACTCTGTGTGGTTGCGTGTTTGTTTTAAATTGATTACCGGGGTTAGGAGTTTCCACTGTGTCTTGTCAGATTTCACTTCTCGTTGGAAATGCTTCACCTGCGCTGATCTGACAGCAGAGCTCAGAGTCAGACACAAGGTCGTGTTTCTCTCCTGCAAGAAGAATATTAACAAACCGCATGAGTGCAGCAGCAGGGTTGAGAAGCAGCAATGCAACAGTGACCAAAATAACTAATACACATTGTTCCTCTGTTGTAACTGCACTGCAGGTAATGAGCAAACCTCTCCCCGCATGAATATTCATTAGACTCATAGCTCTGGGCTAATATTGCACAGATGTGTGCTGTGTGACCTTGAAGTCTATGGGACCAAAAATCTATTGGCCCATTAGCAAATGCTAACATTAACTCGACTGTATACTTAGCAGGAGCGTTCATTAGCTCTAGTCTCAAATTAAAAAAAATAAATGCAGTTTGGCATCACATCCAACATTGTATATCCCTGTTGTGTTTTTTGGCACAACTACTAAATGATTATCACAGAGGGCTGAATATCAAAATGAATGACGCGTCTCAGCTTCCTCCCACTGTCCAAAAATGAAGTCAAAATTTCCAGGATGTGAGCGCTTAAAAACGTATACTTCGACTTTTTAGTTTGGTCTGTGTGCCACCCACTAACATGGAGGAGGAGGGGTTTATGACGTGTGCTGCAGACAGCCACCAGGGGGCAATTAAAATCTGTGTTTTGGTGTGTGTGAGTGTGATTGTGTGTATGATCAGTTACACCTCATGACTGATGAAATTGTCAAACCCAAGCTGTCCATCATGGCGTCCCACCTGACGCACGCCGTTGTTTCTTTGTGTTGATGATGGCGGGATGCAGTCAAACACCTGATGCCTGCTCATTCTCCAGTCGAGGGCCTGTCACTCATATCTCTCCTCACTGTTAATAAGTGGGGCTGTGTCTTTAAACCTGTCTACCTGTTCAATTTATTTCTATGTCTAGACTCTGCCTGTGTGTCTGTGTGTGCATTCAACACCTACAACAGTGCCGGTGCATATATAGTGGTATGGCATGCTAATGGGAATTGTAATAGCGCTAGACAGGGATTAGTTGATATGACCCTAAGCAGTGGAACTAGCAACCGGTAGCTCCAAGAGAAAGGTAGCAGCCTTCCATTGTGGCCCAGCAGTACATGCATTATTCATCCGCTGCACACGCATGACTGCTGATAATGATTTTATCACATCTGGCAATGTGGGTGTGGGTTGGGGGGTGGATGGGCGTCCTCACTGTGCATACAGTATGTGCACATCTTTTTTTTTTTGTCCCCAATACAGTATGTTCATGAATTTCAATACGACGTGTTTAGCAACAGAGATGGCAGGAGGCATGAAATGAGAAACCAATCTTTGTCTCCTGCCTTTATGGCTCCCAACTTAAATTACCTCCCCCCCACCCACCCGCACAGACGTGCCACGATAACGTCTGATAAGGATTGAAAGGTGGAGTCCTTTGTGCTGGGAGGCCGGCTCAGGTGTGCAGCAAGATGGGAGAACAAAACCAGCTACACTCGCAGCGCTGCTACCAAACAGGCTGTTTATTCAACAGAGAACGCGACTGCTGAACGGGCTTTGATATCCACTTACTCCTCGCTGTCTTAACTGCCGACCGCACGGCTCACACAACAAACAGAGAAGGTGTTCACGTGACAGAAGCCGTGCACCAAATGAGTAAAGAAAGAGCAAAACAAGCAAACAAAAAAGAAACGCCTAACGTCCTCCACTTACATAACATCCTCCACCTGCTGTTGTTATTATTACCTCTCCTGCGTTCGGCTTGTGCTAACATGCTGTCGCTGTCGAGTTGTCTTCCACTTCCTCCCCCACTCCTCGGGATAATTGCATTACAGCCCAATAACAGTGTGTTTGGGTAGGAGTGTGGGAACTGGTTGTCTAAGTCTCCGTTCATCCTCTCAGATTGGTTGCTTCCTGTTTCAGCCAGCTCCCAGCAGGACACGACCTTCTCCATCTATATTGTTAGATAACGCCGAAATAAAAACAAGCAGGGAGACAGAAGGGATGGGGACAGACTTGGAAGAGGTCCGATGAGTCCACAGGTGCTAGGAGACAGCCGGACACACAGCGAGGGGACACGTACATACAGAAAATTGTTGAAATAAGCAAATAAACACCGCAGTGGCAGTGTTTGAGTTTGGTGCTGAAATGTCATCATGTGCCTGGAGGTCAAAAGCCGTGAATGTGCGTGTGTTATCTGCATACCAGAGCGCACGGATGTTAGTGGCTTTGTTTTTGTGGCTGTCTCATCGCTCCCCCCCGTGGAGACGGTGTCAGGTCCTTTTGTTACCTTCACTGCCCTTTGTCCCGACGTGTTTGCCTCTATAAATGTTAAATACTCCCAAACAGCAGTGGGTTTCTGTTGCTTCACAGCAGAGCAGACGGGGACAATGGGGTTCTGTGGCCCGCTGTGTAATCGCTCCCATGTCCTCAAGCCAAATGATCCTGATAAATCTGAGGTGTCTTCAAGGACAGTTATTCATTCTCAATGTGTATTTTTGCTAATTTTATTTACACTTTATATACACTGGAACCTCTTAATGTTCAGATTTTGAGATTTGAATATACCACACCAATGTCCTCCTCAACAACTCTCTTAAGAAAAGAAGATACCTGAAGGAGGTTTCATTATTTCTTGGATTGTAAAGGTCTCTGAGGTCCTGAAGTTATTTTTTTATAACTTTTTAGATTTACCACCAACTTACAAAATAATTAAAAACATTCCAAATTTCAAGGGTTAAATGCAACCAATTCATTTCTGCCAAACAAAACATACATTTGCTCATGTTCTCTTATGATGTTAACAAAGGTAAACAGTCTGGAATGGACGGTGCAGTAATCAGTTGTGACTCCACAGATTTTCTGAATACATTTGTTTTTATTCCGAATAAACTGAGAAACTGTTGGAATCAGAATCTATCAAATCTGTTAGAGAAGGTTTCAAACTGCTTGTTGATACGTAAAAAAAAAAACAATACCACTTGTGGGTGTGTTCTTTACATGTGAAACTCCTTTTACAAAAAGCCTGTTGGGTCAAAATCATAAAGCAGAACAGAAACAAAGAAGAGAGAAATGTGTAGCAGCATCATAACATGACCTACAGATGCTCCTGGAAGATTGCTCATGCTTTTTCTCCTGAAACCATGTCTATATCCTTGAATATTAAATCCTGCAATATGTCTTGCCAGCTTATTTTCCACTGTGTTGGTTTGTATTCTCTATGGTCTTTTTTGAGGATAAATTCAATTCAATAAATCTATATTTCTAATTGTAGGCAGGGGCATTGCAACAATAAAGGCAAAGCAGGCAATTGCATGGGGGCCCCTAGCTGAGAGGGGTTACGATAGTCCATAGCAACAGCAATTTTGTGAGAGCGCACTTAAATTCTATGATCGACTAAGTACAGGGGACTGCAACATTACCATGGTCGGAAAACCCCCCTATAATGAGGCCCCATGTCACTAACTTTCAGGCAGAAACATCAAAATTCTATAGGTTTGGTTGAAGACTAGAACGTTTAGAACGACTAGAACGTCTGTGTATGATGTGCACTTAAACTACTTTACTGTTTTTTTATGTGAATGCACAGTCTGCACCTTCTCTATAATTGTGCCACTAAAATAAATGTCTGAAGATTTAACTGATGTGGTTTGTTGTTGTGTTTCTTTACTTCGATGTAGGGCCCTCCAAGTCCCCTGAAAGGCTCCCGATTGTGTGCATTTGGGCTTGTGTGTGCACTTGTATCCGCTTTTGTGTTTTTGTGCACGGCTGCGTGTGTCCACTGTATCTGTGTGTCTTTGTTTTTGTGCAGAACTTTGGAGGCCAGAGAGCCAGCAATTAAAAAGAGGACTGGGACATCTAAAGGCTTAGAGGCACAGACCCAGCACGCATGCTGGCAGTCAATTGGCAAGCCGGGGGGAGGTGAAATTGGAGTGAGTGAGAGAAAGAGAGAGGGAACTGAGAGAGAGAGAGAGAGAGAGAGAGAGGGAGGGAGGAGGGCAGGGTGAGTGCTTGCAGGAGAGTCACAGAAAAGAGGGTGGGCTCAGCTCAGGCAGCTCACACACCCTCTCCTCAGCCTTCAGTCTGGTTTGGCAGTGCAAGAGGCAGCATGTGTGAGAGAGTGTGTGCAGTGACGTTTGCGTATGTGTGTGTGTGTTTGTGTGTAGAGTGAAGGGGACGTCTCACTGATGCAAAGGATTCCCCCTTCAGAGAGGACACGTGCTGCCAGTGTTTAAATCTCCACAAGGATAATTTACTGTCACACACAGACGAGGAGCACGAGCGAAGGTAAAGAGATGTGCTTCTTCTCTTTTTCTGGACTGTTTGTGGAGCTTTGGCAGAGACGGGGAGGGATGGAGAGAGTTGCTTTGGGGTTAAAATGGTTTTATGTTCTGTGGATTTATGATGATTCATATGAATGTGTGAGACAGAAAAAAGCAGATGTTGCGTTCAAGATTCCAAATTTGAGCATTTCTATGAAGAGTATGTGTGTGCGTGTCCATATGTGTGTGTGCTAACATCTGTATACCAACGTACAACTCTCTTATACAATGTGTCTCTGTGTGTTACTACAGTCTACTACTGTGTGGAGGTTTAGTCTCTTCCACTCCCACTTCTTCCCTCTCGCCCTCCTCTCTCTCTCACAAATACATGTACATTTTACAGTACACAAAAAAAATCCTGGATAACCTTTTGTTCAGATCCTATCTTGCATTACGGTGCTTGCGTTCTTAAAAGTTGTTATCAATCATTAATGCTCTCTGTGGGACTCAGCCTTGCCCCTTTACTCGAGGTAATGCAGTGATAACAAAAATACCTTAACAGCCCTGTCGGCCTGTCAGCACCTGAAGTTTCCCCGCCAATGAGCAAACTGCTCAAAGGGCACAGTGAGGCGTTCTGTAGTACATTACTCGTGTGTTTGATTTCCAGCTTTTACGTAAGAGGTGCAGGACAAATAGCATTACTCCAAGAGAAGTGAGATTACTCTGCTGTTCACAAAGTCAAGTGGCACTTAATTGTGAGTTTTTCGACAGAGTGTTAGAGAAGCCGCGGCAGTCAAGTGCAAGTCAGTCCTCAAAATTTCCATCAAAGGGGCAGAGTGTAAAATAAAGAATGAGGGGATTCGGGTCTGATAAAGACGTGAGTCTACTTATATTAAGAGAGGAGAGGAGACTGCCACAACTACAGACAAAGAGGGAGACATGAGAGCTACTGAGAGTCTTGGGAAAACAGCAGTTGAAGGTACAGACGACTTGACAGTTGCCAAAAAGACAGAATGAGGGATCACGAGCTGTGAGATAAAGCAGACACAAAAACAAAGTGTGCAACATGTGCACTTTTACCTCCCTCTGAATACTTCATATGCTTTCACCATTTGTCACGTATATGTCGGTGTGACTAAGTGGAAGTGTTAGGTCTCAGCTTTGCAGAGGGTCGTCTTCAGGCATTCGGACCGCCAGAGAATTACGAGGGGTCAAAGGGCACAATGTCGCCGCTGTCCTTTCTCCTCCCACACCTCCATGCTCCTTCTTTAGAGGAGTAAGAAAACAAAACCGTCTAATAGAGCAAAGTGGAGCTTAGGAGCCAGTATTTCCAGTATGTGGTTTAATTTTCTGTGGCATGCCAAGTCCAGGTTAAAAAGACTTAATCAAATTCAAAGTCAGAAAATATAATTGTGATTTAATAACAAAAAAAAACGCTGAATGATTTCTTTGAGAATCTGTTCACTAAACCCTCATGAGCTTTAAAGATAATACGCCCCCAACACACTTTCACTCCACAACTGTAAAATTAAGCTTCAGAAAACACTCATTTTATTTTCCACCTTTACTCGTAGAGTTTGTTTTGAATTTGAAAATAGAAATTTTAAAGTAGTTATCTCTCTCTCGCCCCCTCCCTCTCTTTCAATCTGTCTCCCCACCCTCTCTCTCACTCTTTCTCTCTCTCTCTCCCTCTCTTATCTTTCCTTCATGTTATCTTTCTTTCTACAATTCACTGCTGCCACAAGGAAGTTGAATATTGGCAGGGTGTTTTGAGGAAGTGATCCGTGAAAGGATTTATAGAGACGGATAAAAACTGGTGTGTGTGTGTGTGTGTGTGTGTTTTCTGACAAAGACTTCATGAACGCCTGCGGCTGTTAAGGGGGGGGCATCATCTCATATACTGTTACACATTTCTCATTCAGGTTTATGTGAATGTGTGTCCATTTACTACATGTACAAGTGTGTATCTAGGACAAATATGAGTGTGGGTGTGTGTACGTCCACACAACCATGTGCTCCGTGTGTGTACAGTAAGCTAATATTGTGTGTGTGTGTGAAGAGAGGGGGATGGGGATCCATTAAGTGAACCGTGATTGTGTGTGTGTTTAGATTGTGTGTACATACTGACCCAGATTGATACACTGCTCTCGTGCTAAGTCAGCTCACCTTCAGGGCAGATATAGGTGTGTATGTCCTCTTCTGTGTACATCCACGTAAACAACCACAATCAGGTGCTGCTTCTTGTCTCTAAGTAGGACGTTGAGTTCATGCTTGCAAACTGAAACCAGAACCATGACACCATGAGTATTTTACATCCAACCCTTTAGTTGTACCATAATCGAAAAGGTTTAACCCCAATGTTTCCTCGTTTACCTGATGGGAACCGACCTTTTATTCAAGGCAGATCTGGAGGTCATAATCTGATGAAGGTCAAGTTCATTCAATTCCAATTCCCTCGGCCGTCCAATTTAGAAGGTTCCTTTAAATGCAGCTGACAAAATGCTTCCTTCCAAATCCAGAGTAATGATGGATCCATCGGGTGGATCCCTCTCATGTCAACCTATCCCAGGATTAATTGCGTGCTGGCGATTAAGCTATAGCTAGCTGTCTAGCTATCTGGGTCGCTGAGCTCTAAATGTAAGTAAGTGCAGTGGCTCAAAGTAGCTAACAATGCAACTGTAAGAGTGAGACAAGCTGGTGATGATCGTCTGATGACCAGACTGTTTCATTTCAGTTTCGTTTTCGCTGGTATTCGTGACACGTGAGTGCCGCAGGCTACTAAACCTGCATCTCCCGAAGGAGGCGGCCCCTGGACTGGGTCAGAGGTCACATTTCGGTGACCCAGTTTTGGGGCGGATGTTCTGCAACCGCATGTAGTGAATACTATAAATACAGATCTGTTTATGTAAAGCTTGTGAAGCGCTTCATGCATCAGCTTATGCAATAAATAAATGGAAATAAAATCCTCACCTTCATTAACAGAACAGAACTCGCGCTCACTGTAAATTCTCTCACATCTTTCCCCTCTATACGGTCAGTAAGACTCTTGTGACCTTGTGGCAGATCGGACGTTTGGCTTCTCTTCATGATTACAGATCCAGCACATAAGTTGCATTTTGAAAAAGCATGTGGCGAATATGATAAAGGGATGATGCAATTAACATGAAAGGGGATGATCTCTCTCCCTCTCTCTCATCTCATCTTTGCGTCTCTTGTTTTCTAACCGTTGCTCCGAGAACGCTTCATCCCCTCTTCCTCAGAGGTCCACTTATTTTTGCTGTTAAGCAAATACGGGGCTTATGGAGCCCCCAGTGCCCATCTCCCCACATGCAATCAAGCTGTTTAAATGTTTGTGTTTGACTGTGGGTCTTCTGTGTGTGTGTCTGTGTGTGTGTGTCTGTGTGTGTGTGTGTGTGTGTGTCCCTGTCGCTCACTCTCCCAATTCTATTAGCTTGCAGACCAGTACCAGCCAGAAAATGTTTTGGGAAAACCATGACAGAGCTGACAGCCGAGGGTGGAGAGACGCGTTGACTTTATTTTCCATTCCCTAGATGTGATAGTAGGGGGGGAAGCCCTTTGTTGTGTTGATGATAGAATAAAAAGGAAATGGTTCCTGACCTCTTCTCCTCTAAAGACTTTCATCGACGGCTACCAGGAAAGATTGGTCACAAGTTATCTCTAAAAACCATCAGACTTGCACAGAGGAAATGTGTGAATATCAGGAGTGAGGCACTTTGAGATAATCCGTGGTATAGGTGCCATTAAACAATTGCGAAGATGAGCTGACATAATCACGCCAGCACCTCAAACCATGTGGGAAATGTAATGAAAATATGACGCCTATGTTTTATTTATCAGTTTGAGGATCATCATCAGTGTATAATGTGTTTGGACGTCAGTGTTCTTTGGTCTTGGCCTTCTGCATGAGCCTTGTGAGATGTGAGAAGCCCAACACGACAGGAGAGGCAGAACAAGGCAGCGTGAACATTATGTCACGCTGACGTGTTTGCTTGTGTGAGTACATTTAGCATTGTCACTCGTCTGGTTAAGCAGGACTGCGAGGTTCATGAGCCGGGGAGAGAACGACAACGTCAAGGTGGAGAACATTTTGTTTTAGTGCCAGAGTCCTGAACATCAACCCCCTGATGAGAAGCACGAGACGTGGGAGAAGAAGAAGAAGAAGAAGGGGATGCCGCTTTGAGTAGGGGGTCCAGATGGGGGGAGGGGTGTTTCAGAGCTGACGTGAGCTGGCATGTGTCCTCGTTCATTTCCTCGCCTTTTTGTCTTCTGTGGCTGCTGATGAATTGGGAGTTCCTTCCTTCCTTCCTTCACTCCTCCCTCTGTCTCAGTCAACATCCCTCCATCCTTCCTCTCTTGGTTTGACAGCATTGCAGTCCCTGTCATGTCTGCCCATTATCTCTGATCAGTGTTGCGCTCCAGCCCACACATCAGTATGTGTGCTGGCATCTCCATGTATGTTATGGTTGCATCTTCAGATATTTCTTGGTTCCTGCGTTACGGAAGAACGGTATAAAAAAAACGTATTACAGGTGATTATGTGTGGTTTCGTTTAGCGAGTGATCAACAAAGGATGCTGGCAGTGCACACGATATTTATTATTTAATAGAAGTGTGACTTGAAAAGGCGGAAGACACTTAGTGGAGATTTGGAGATGATTAGACGTGCTGAGATGAAGACACGTTACCTGAACAGGAAGAGGATGTAAAGACAGGGAGGCGACGTTAAGACTTCAGAGTGGAAACTCAACGTGTGTGAAGTGCTGAGTTGGGATTTAAAGAAGGAATTACTGTGCGAGTGTCTTCAAAGATAGTGTTTCTGCTTTGTTTGAGCTGGAGAGATTTGGCCTTCCTTGGAAGGACATCCTCGACTGTGTGTTTTTCTGTCCAAGCGTGTGCATGTGACTGTGTCAGCTTCATCTTTCCTTTCAAGCCCCTCACATTACATTAGTTTCAGTCAGCTGGAGAGTTAGTTAAAGAGAGAAGCAGATCTAGCCAGCGACTCACT